GTTGTAATTAACTTCTTGAACTCTCCATATAAAGTAATAATTCCAATCAAGAGTCCGTTGAACCACTAGAGAGTCAAATCTCTCAACGTGATGTAAGATAGTCAACATTCAATGTGTCAACAACTTTATGCAGTCATATAGCCGACTCAAAGTATGCAATGTAATTAGTCAGATCACTTTGAGCCTTGCATGACTCTAAAGATGGAACCTTGAGCTTCTCGGGGGGCTCCACAACAATAATTTGACGGGAGAATGCATTGTCCGGTCAATGGTAAACTTCCATTCACCCTACTTATGGTATGTTCCTTAGTATGGACCAAACACTATCTTGGCGCTTGGATTCTTCCACATGTCCAACTCACTGATCCATTTGATGACATTAGGGTTCATGTAGTTAAGGATTAGGTTATAAAAGAACCAGTGCTCTCCCATTAAGCAATATGCGAGTCCGTTCTACCATCCGACATGCTATTTGATCTAAGAGCTTCTGAATTAATTGTTGCACAAATTCTCAGATAAAATACATATTAGAAGTTTCTACCGAGCACGTTCCTTCTCCGTGACACGCTCATATTCTTTGTGAATGTCTGTCTCCACGCTCACCAGACATTTTAGGATGCTGAATCTCAAAATGTCATTTCGATTGTGCTTAAGGAATAAAGCTCTTGACAAATGACAAGAATAGAGAAATAAGAAAGTAGGAAACGTAGAGTAGATCACACAATAATACAAGTTTTTATGTTATATATTCAGTAGTTTTTCTTGAAAAAATGACCCCTTTATTTATAACTCATAGAGGCAACCTCATAGATTACATGTTTGTCCCAGATTAAATATGAATGTTACAAGTGATTAACGGGTCATTACACCTTTACATATTTGCAGCCGACCTTGGTATATTTTAATAGCAGTAACCGCCATTGGAACTGTTTTGTATTTGTAACCATTATTGACATTGTTTTATATTTGTAATTGTACACCTCAATTGCCTGATCGTTGTTCGGTTGGCTGAAAGTCTTTTAGTCGGTTGACACATTTGTCGTCTTTCCCGAGGGAACCCTTTGTGGAGACCCCCTTATTCTTAGAAAATGTTTGTTCCATCAAACAGAAGGAGCGTCATCGTAATCTGAAGGACATCCTTCCTTTAGACAAGAGGTCTTCATAGAAGGCTGAAAAATTATTTGGGACAGCCACTGACACTCTACCAGTGACCCATAGCCAGTTGAGAGAGTCGATTTCGCACAATCGTTCCCTGGTTTAGATTTAGATGCACAATGTTCTTAGCTCGGATGTACTTTCATTCAATCGGTCCATGATCCAATTGAATGAAGTGATGCTTGATGGCTCGGTCTTACGACTTTGATTATGCATTATTTAGTATATTTTTGTGTGATTCGTTAAAATTATTCAAGATTAACGCGGCCAGATTTTCGATGTACAAATATTTATACATATAATATTTATATTATCTTCATTAATTTTAAATTTATGAATTTTAAAATAATTTTATTTAGGATTACAAATGAAAAATAAATTTTTTGTATTGAATATGTAAATACATAAGAATTTTGTGGCATGTATG